TTTATAAGGTAGGAGAAAATGTTAACCTTCCTTTACAAGAAGGAAGGGATAAAGAAACCTTGAAACGTTTGATGGGGAAATGTTGATTGAACAAAACTTCTCGGATAAATTTTTACCTAAAGTTTGGCATGAATATGACTTTTTCCTAAATTATATCTTACTGATGGATACTATAAGGATCATTTTTCTAATTTTTATAAAGTTATAAAATAAAATAAGTTCAAATTTTCAGACAAATTAAAATTCATTTATGCACATTAAATTATGAAAATGAAATCAAAAAATACTTTTAAAAAGTTAAACTGCATAAACTTGTTTTAATTTATAAAAATTAACTATTTTTACGTTTTGAATTTAATATATATATATATATATATATATATATATATATATATATTTCAATCATCAAATTGGCAACAAACAGATGGACGGATGATTTACATGCACAAGATGTCCCACTTTGATTAAAGGTGAGCTGACCTCCCAAACTTTGGGTGCTGATGAATAGTTCGAAGTAAAAATTAGAATTAATTTTTCTTTAAAATTTTAAATTAATTTAGTTTCTAATTTTATGAATATGTGAATTTAATTATTTTAATTAAATTTAGTTAAATTTATTTAACGTTTTAAAAACATTTTATAATAATATTTAAGTTAAAATGTGTTTAAAATATCAAATAAGTATAATAAAATTTGATTAAAAATATTAAATACATATTGTTTTAAAGTTGAGAAATTAAATCAAAATTTTAAGAAGAGATTAATTTTAATTTTCACTTAAAGTTAATAAACTAAAAATATATTTAACCTTACAAACTATGAAAAAGAATTCAGATTTAAAAGGTTATTTAAAATACTTCTCTTCTTTTAAAGTTATAATACAACTGAGAAGCATACATTAATAATAAATGTGTCAATGTTATTGAATTTAAAATGTTTAGAAAACTTATATAAAAAATATGTAGTGACATCTTAAAACTATTCTTTTTTAGCTTGACTTAACCTAACTATGAATGTTATGATAGATTTAAAGCATTTAATTAAAAACAAATCTTTTAAAATGATATCATTGTATGACCAAAGAATTTATAATTTTTTCACAAATTTTTTTTGTTTTAATTATTGTGATATAAATGATAAAAATACTTGTATATGTAAATAAAATCTACATAAGATAGTTGGTATTTGCATATGAATAATGGATATTTTAATATTCATTAATAAACGAATTAGGTACGAGTATCATAGTATTTATATTCGCAAGTATCCGTCATTCGTAAAACGTAAAATTAAAATATAATTTATATTTTATTAAGTTAAATTTAATTTATATTTTATTAGGTTAAATTTAATTGAAATTAAATTTAATTTATTTTATATGTAACATCCCATTTTGATAATATAAAGTTACTAAAATAAAATGTTACATAGTTCATAACTTAGAAGAAAAAAATTGATATTTCTAGAAAAAGAAGATTATACACATGAAGAACGAACCTATCTACACTATTGTTTTATCCTCCTCTTCACGTTGAAACGACCAGAGATATCCCCTCCCTAAGCTCACACCATTTAAGGATCATTGCAAAAGAGAAACATACACAAACAACATAAAGACAAAGCAAGGGCAAACTAGTATGAATAGAAGTATCACATAATATTTAAATTCCAATATATAAATTACAGCTCAAACCAAGAAATTTACACATTTTAGAATTGAACAATGACCATAGACCTAACTCATCCGGATATACTATGAATGTCAAGATATAACATGTTCTGCCCTTTGTGTGGTAGAACAATTGACCCCCCTCAGCTACCATACAAAGTTAGTCCGTTAAAACACACTTTTCTAGATGAAGAAAGACCCCAAGCTAGGACCATGGTGGGTTATGCACTTGTGTGCTGGAACAACTGAACCATCTCAAGCTACCATATAAGTTTAGTCCGTTAAAACGTCCTCTGCCAATAGGAGAAAGACCCCCAAGCTAGGACTTCCTGATATTCTCACCACATGACTCATCACTCTCTAATTGAGAATGGATGATCATTAGAATGTCAGGATAACCCATCAAAACTGAGTTTCTTACATTCATTACAACAACACATGAAACCACCAATAAGAAGTTCCTCCTTGGAACTCTTTGCACAACCTTTTTTTCACTTATATAATCTCATATAAACATTGCATGCTATCATATGAAACCTCAAAGCATTCATCACAAAACCATAAACAATTCATTATAAATCTTAAAGTCATACACACAAAATAAAGGATTCAAAAACACCTAAGAACACAAACCCACTCGTCCAGCTAGAGCCAAAATAGCAAGCTCCCCAAGCTAAGCGAGCTGGCTCGCTTAGCCACTTCAACTATCTACCAAAAACCCCAATTACTCATCCAACGTGAACCAAAACAACAAGCTTCACAAGCTAAGCGAGTTGGCTCGCTCAACTACTAGAACTCTCTGCTAAAACTCCCTTACGCTCACCCAGCTAGCCAATTATGATCGCCGAGCCAGAGTACATAATTTTGCAGCACTAAAACTAGAAAATTAGCACTTCTATACCACTCATTACCTCTTTTAACCACTTTTACAAATTTCTAACACTCCTAGATTGGATTCTATTTTAGACTAAAAACCTATCATAAACTAATAATCAACTGTTTATAACAATACATCAACTCAAAAACCTCTAAATTCTCAACTTAGGGACCAAAATCGCATTCTACCTATTCTAGCTCATTTTTAAGTAATTTAAGGACTCTAACAAGTCAAAAGTGACTTACCAATACCATTTAAAATGGCCAATTTAACCTAGAACCTATAATTCAAAATCTCACTACCCCAAACATCCAAAACATACTTAAAACCTATTAGATATATTATCTTTACTTTATATTTATCTTTTATCTTTAGTTAGTTTGTTATTATTTCTTTAGTTAGTTTGTTATTATTTCTTTAGTTAGTTTGTTATAATTTCTTATTTGTATTTTGGGCTTAGCCCATATTTCTTCTATTATAAATAAAGGACCCTATGTGTATATTCAACACAAGGGAGATTAATCCCATATATAGTTTTTCACTATATTCAACATAGTATCAAAACTATGGTTAGAGCCTATCCTAGCAATATTTGTTGTTTGTTGGACATGTTATTCCACTCGCTATCGGTCCATTATCAGACCACCCATTAATGTGTAGTCTCACGCTCGAGAGGATGTCTAGACCTCGGCATGAGGGGGTGTGTTGGAAGTCTCACATTGACTAGAGATAAAGCCAATTTATAATATATAAGTGTGTGCAAACCTCACCTTACAAGCCGATTTTGTGGGATTGAGTTAGGCTTAAAGTCTACTTCTTAACAAGTTGTTGTAATTTGGTTTGAGTTGTGTCAATTAGGAAAACATATTCGTAGTTCCTTTCTTCATAGTGTCTCACAACGTGCTTTGTCTCCTTTTGTTTTAGTCCATTCTGACATTTGAGGACCTAGTCATGTTAAGTATAATTTATGTTTTCAATATTATGTTACTTTTATTGATGATTATTCTATATGCATTTGACTATTTTTAATAAAAAATCATTATGAGTTATTGTATCTTTTTCAAACTTTTTATAATGAAATTAAAATTCAATTCGGTGTTTATATTCAAACTTTTCGTAGTAACAATGATTGTAAATATCTTTCCCATTTGGAAATTGAAATGTTTGCAAATTTCCCATTTGGAAATTGAAATGTTTGCAAATTTCTAGCTTGCATTTCCGAACAAGATAAACCAGTTATTAAACGAATTAAGGCAATAAAAAGCAACTAAATTCACCTGATTTTATTAGTCCGACATCTTGATTAGATTTTCAAATCCTCGTTCGACAAGATAATTGTCAATCATTCAAAATGCAACAAAAAAAAAAAGAAAAAATCAGACACTAATATACCATTTCTCAATACATCTATGTATGCATACTACACTTTCATTTTTTAAAACGGCATTTAAAATTTCACGCACCAATTGGTGAGAATAACCAACATTTTCAATCCCCTGAGAAAATTCAAAAACATATTGCTGCCAATGGACAAATCCTCACACTTCTTCACACACACATTTACACCAAAATGAGTGCAGGCAGCTAAAATTCAAATCCAAAATTTCCCATAACCATGGAGGAAAAATGGAAACAAATTGAATGGTACTTCGAAGCGTGACCAGAGATGCAAAGATAAATGAAACACGTGCAAGTCACGAACCATTTATTCTCATTACAAAAGTGCTTAGCTAGCTCTACCTCACGTACCTTCTCATGTCTCCTTAAAAATCACAAAAATTCAAATAACAACCTTATGTTATCTGTCATCACATCATATTTGTCTATGTTATATATACACACACCCAATCCAATACAATAGTTGCATCAGTATATTACATCACAATTGTTTTTCTCTCTGACTTTGGCAGTATCATCGTCATATGTTGTGGTATGCATCTTTTTTCCTATACATGAGACTATTTACATGTTATCACTAACAATCGTATCACAGTGTTATTTTATCTGTGTTTGAACTTTGTTTAATGGTGCAAAGTGCATAATGCACATTAGTCTACGCCGCCATGATATACTGCACACTGCACGTAGCTTATGGAATTCAACGTTATTTTCAAACTTCCTTCATGCCCGCGCACTAGCATAAGCATCTATTTGTTGTATTTTATTTTATTTTGTATACTATATTTTTCTTTTAAGTGTGTGAGTGACCGTTTTGGAAAAGTTAGAGAGAGAAAGGGGTGATGAAAGAAACCCAACAAACATCACTTCCTAGTACAACTGTACACACCAATGACTACACTGCTCTAACTAAAAGTTTATTGCATTCAACCTCCACCGTCCTTGTTTTCTCTTCTCAGTTTTTTGGGGTATAACTCAGACATGAGAATCTAAGACAAAGTAATATTCATGGTCGAGGTATTTCTTTGTTGTCTACTTGAGCACTTTGAAAACATCACTTTTCTTTTTCTCATTTTGGGTATTCACAAAGTTGGTAAATTTTTTTAGATCTAACCAAATACACTTTCTGGGTATCTCTTTTTTATACACACCTGTAATTACACTACATCATCAAAATCAAAATACATTCACATGTTCTTTCTCTTGGGTTTCGAAAAATACGATTTTGATGCCACCCTCTGTACCCTTTACAGAGGCTGATATGTATTCTTCATTGCCCACCTTTTGTCTTTCTCCTTTCATGTTGTTTTGGCTCCCTAATTTGAGAGTTGGGTCGTGTTGTGCTTGGTTATAGGGGATAATAAGATAGAGTGAGAGTGAGATCACAGGGTCTGAAAAGTTAGGATCCGAGGCCATTTCTTTGGAGGGTAGTAAGCAACTAGTAGCCATACATAGGCATTTCTCTTTCACTTGAAAAGCTTTTGGTTAAGGTGGCTTTTGAGAGGGGAATATATACTTGTTACGGTTGCCGTTTTGAAACACAACAGTGTGTGTGTGAGGTGAGAGTGTAAAAGGTGAATCATAGAGAAGAGAAGAAGGGTTTCTTTCTTTCTTTCTTTCTTTCTTTTCCCTTTTTGTTTATTTGTTTTAATTTTGTTTTCCTTTTTGAATAAAAATTTACAGAAAAGAGGGAGCGTTATAAAGGGGGAGCGTTGGCTTTAGCATGCAACTTGGGTTCGGTAAAAAGAGGGAGCGTCCAAGGAAGAGAGCCACACTAATAGAATAAACATAAACATAAACACGGAGACAAGATCATGCAAGAAGATATGAAGAAGCAGCAGAAGCAGAAGCAGCTGGTCAATGAAGAATCTAAGAAGAAGGAGCGTCACATTGTGACGTGGACTCAAGAGGTCCTTCTTCTCTCACTATAAAATTATTTTCCTCCTGTTTTTGGATTATATATTCATTTCTCAAGTTCTTCTTCTGTGGAGGACTGGTGCCTGATGGGTGCTGTGTGAGTTGCAGGAAGATGATATACTCAGGGAGCAGATTGGCATCCATGGAACTGAAAAGTATTCAAACTTTAATTCATTATAGCCCTTTGGTTATTCTTCCCTTGAGTTACTCAATAATCACGCCACTAGTGCTTTGTTTTTTTACATGGATATGTGACACTAAGGGGTTTTAATTGCCATGACCATATGCAGTTGGGCAATCATTGCTTCTAAATTCAAGGATAAAACGACAAGACAGTGCAGAAGAAGGTAAAGTCTTTTAATTTTGATGATGATTCATTCAAGATATTTTATTCGGTCCTCTGCTTTAATCCTTTGATTCATGGGGATCTTCATGCCCCCTGCTCAATTTTGATCCTTAATCTCATGCTCAAGTAAATGATGCTTTGCCAGATGGTACACTTATTTGAATTCTGACTTCAAGAAAGGAGGATGGTCACCAGAGGAAGACATGCTTTTATGTGAGGTAAATGATTGCTTCTTGTGTTCTGTATCTGTCATTCGAGTTTAGCAATTTTGTTTTATAATAGTGATCTTACAAATACTTGGAAATTTCGGACTTTATCTTTTACTGTTTATTTTTCTGTCTTTCCATTCCGTATGGTGGACTTCAATCCATTGATATACTTAAGGATTGCAAGTGCTGTTACCATGGCAATTGGCTTGGCAGTCATTTATTTTTCCTTAAACTCTACCCTACCAGTAACCAAGATTTTGTGCTTGTATAGTTTTTTGTAGATGACATCAACAGGGTTACACTGTAATTTATGATCACATGTAATCTGTGAGCTAATTTCTTAATACTATCTCTGCAGGCTCAAAAACTATTTGGTAACAGGTGGACAGAAATAGCAAAGGTGGTTTCAGGCAGGTAATCAGAATTGCATGCATTTTTCTCTATATGGAAATACAAAATCAGTTTTTGTTACAACAGTGTCTTATTGCTATGCTTCAAATGCGTTGAGTGCAGAACGGATAATGCTGTGAAAAACCGATTCTCCACACTGTGCAAAAAGAGAGCAAAATATGAAGCCTTAGCAAAAGAGAACAGCACTTCATACATCAATTCAAATAACAAAAGGACTTTTCTCCAGCACAGGTGTGATACAGATGTAGCATCAGAATCTGCAGTAGCTATTAAAAAGATGAGGTATGGTGAACTAGGAGATCAAAGTATGCAAATTCTATTAAGGAGAATATTAACATGTCATCCTGCTGCAATATAGGAGGTCACATATCCCTGATGCTGAAGAAAATATCAACTTTGGAGACAGATCACATAAACAAAACGGAATTCCAATAAATCAGCAGTCAAGAGCACCATTTGCAGTTTTAGCTCAAAACTCTCGCAATGTCAACTTGCCAGACCAGGATCATGTCTGCAATTTGAAGTTTAGTGATTATGGTAATGCCTTTAAATTAGGGGGGGAGGGGAATTGTGTAGAACTTCATTCTTCTAGTTGTGAAACTCAAAATAACAGGACAAGATTGTGTTTGGTTTGCAGAAGTGTTTTCTGCTTTTATTATTAATTAGAACAATGTCACTATGTTTTCACCTCATTTCCTATGTTGTCACTAATCTTATTCAAATATTTGAAAACCGACAAGTGGCAAACACTGTGGCATTTTTGTCATTATCAATGAAAAGTGAAAATGAAAACATAAAACATTTTCATAAAACAAATGCATCATTTGGTTTGATTTCTATTTTCATTTACATTTTCAGTTCATACCTTTTTGCTGGTAATATAAAAAAAAAATCACATTGTTTGTATTTTGTTTCCTGTTTTCAAGTTTTTGTGAAGGAAATGGTGAAACTGAAACCAGCATAAGGAAAAGAGGAAACTAAATGATAACAAGGTGACATTTTTAAATTATAAGTGAAAACATAATAAACTGAATATGAAAATAGTAAATAACCAAACACTTCTAACTAATATATTAAGCCTGAAATAGCACTCTCCATTGTATAAATCTAACGTGACTCTTGGTTTCTCATGATTTTACAGCCCAAAACAAGATTCAAGGAACATTCCTTAAAAAGGATGACCCAAAGATAAATGCGTTGATGCAACAAGCAGAGTTATTAAGCTCACTGGCTCTAAAAGTTGATTCAGAGAACGTAGATCAAAGTCTTGAAAATGCATGGAAGGTAAGACTGTAAGGTTTCAGAACTTGTTTTTGAACATTTTATGCGCTTCTTTAAAAATAAACTCCAGTTGATGTCTTCAAAAGCAAAGACCAAATTACAGATTATAAGAAGTTTAACATCAACAGAATTGAATCAATTTTTACAATGCCAAGCCTATCAACGTGAAAATCATAGAAGTTATTTATGGCAGGTTCTTCAAGAGTTTCTCAACAGAACCAAAGAATCAGACATCCCCAGATGCAAGATTCCAGATTTACAACTTATAGATCTTAAAGATTTGTTGGAGGACTTGAAAAACAGTAGTGAGGAAATGCAGCCATGCTGGAGGTACTTTATGTTCATTTGAAATATGACTTGAAGAGAGCTATGCAATATTTGATGGGAACTTTGGGAATATCTAATAGTTTCTGAAACTATTATAGGCAAATGGAACTATATGAAGACTCTCCAGGCAGTTCTGAATACAGTACGGGATCAACTCTGCTGCCTCATTCAGCTGGTGAGAATTTGGAACAGTCATTACATCAGGACATTGGAACCGAACTGAATATACAAATGGGTGGTCCTGAAGAACTTAGGGGATGTCACCAAGGGGTTCTTTCAAGTGCAACTCTAGATCAAGGTAAGATAATAAAGTTCCATGATAGAATAAACAAAAAGGAAAGGTAATTTTTGGTAAATTTCCATTTTAAGGTGCAGCCACTTATTTTCCTAATTTAAATGGTAAGCTATTCCTAAACAGGAAATATTTTTACCATGAAGTTAACTTTTATTATAATTTTTTCAACAAGAGTTGTTTTTATATGCTAACATTTTATTGAATCAGAATCACTAATTAGATATATATCTTTTCTATAGCAGATTTATTCCCATCTTGTGAGGAGCAGATAAACAATGATGGCATTGTTTCTGCCTTGTCATGTTCGGAGGATTTCAGTTCACCTCTTCAAGTTACACCTCTGTTTAGATCCTTAGCTGCTGGAATTCCTAGCCCGCAATTTTCAGAAAGTGTAAGTTATCCAAATAACTGGGTCAACCAAAAAATTATGACTAATAGTGACAACAGTCTGATTAATAAGCATTTATACCTGTAATAATCACAAATAGGGGAAATATTAAACCAATGTAACATACTTTTAATAATGACAAATAGGGGACATACTAAACCAATGTTATATACAAGTTGTACCTCAATAGTTCTAGTAGTTCTTAACTTCTAATAAGATAAACTTTTATCAGCCAGAGGACTTTCAGAATACCATTTATTGTTAGATACTTCAGTATGGTGGTGGGGATTTTTCAGCTTATTAATGGTGGAGATTACCATAGCAGGATATAGGGTAAATCATTATATAGGTGTTTTTAAAGTTTTTTAAAGACTTTGTAGCTTAAAAATCTTGTTTGAGGAAGGTCCATTACATTTCATAACACATTCTTCAAAACAATAATGTCTTTTAGTTTTTGAGGCATCACATTTTTTCACCTTAATTAGCACATATGCATATAAATATATTATGCAATATATATAGCTAGCTAGATCTTTACCCCTGCTTCTCACAACTCAAATAACTACTAACTAAAGGTGGAAGATGTATTTGTTTCCATGAAAAGATATTTCAGTGAAATATGTTTATCACTTTTCACCCACAAAAAATGTTTTCATCTCTTCAACACTTAAATACACTATACATTTCGTCAATAAGAAAATATACTAATATAATATTGACAAAACAAACCCAGACGATATCATATATAGATGAAGCTTACAAATATAGTATCTTTGTGCTGAATATTGAAGCAAGAAACCTCTTACACAGCAAGAAATAATTGTTTATCATCTGATATGTATGTAGAATATAAAACAGACATCTACTGTTCTTGCTGCAACAACCATACATTATCTAAGTTGCTGCTATGTCTGTTCTTGCTGAACGATGGAGTTGTGAACTGATAGTTAAAATTGTTTATGCAAAATCATTTGCAGTAACCATGTTCTTTCTTTGACATTATGTTTTATCCCTTTTTCAGGAAAGGAACTTCCTTATGAAAACGCTTGGAATGGAATCTCCATCGCTCAACCCAAGTGTTAAACCGTCACAACCGCCTCTCTGCAAAAGAGTGCTCCTAATATGAATCTCTAACTTATCTGAAATCTAAAATACAAATCATTTTGAAGTTCCTTTCCTTTTCTGAACCCTTTCTCCCTACCCATGGCAATCGGGCCTGCTAGTTCTTCTCTGCCTGGTTTGAGAAAGATTGCAATTTTGTTCTGCCTAAAATTTTGAAAGCCATACACTCCTCCAGAATGTTATGGTACATTCTGAGGATCATCAACACATCTAACAGTGTCCTTTTCTTCCCCCTCTTCTCGAAGGGTTACCACCTTACCTTTCTTGATACTTGCACCGAAAAAATAGTGTGCTTACTTCTTAGTGTGTCATTCTTTGGTTTGTTTTGATATCATTCTGGGTTTGTTTTTTCTCCAATCCAGCTTTTGATCTTGGTTTGCCCTTTTGTACAGAGTTTGGTGTGTAGTAATCCTGAGTGTATGTATACTCCGGCAATTCGCCATCCTACTACATATAATGAACAGAGACATAGATAGAAGAGAAAGAAGAAAAAAAGAGAGCAAAAGATTAACCAGTGGCAAATTGGATTCCTCTTTTGTTGTTTTGGGTGTGCATAGATCATAGAATAAACATTTTTTATTCCTTTTCGGTTCTGATGTACTGAAACATAATTATAATTGGAGTGGAAATGCATTTTGGCTTGGGTGTGCAGATACTGTTTCTGTTATGTCTAACCCGGATTTAACAACACCATCTTCTGTAGACAATTCTTAAAACTAAGAAAAAGTATATGAACTCACCAAGTCTCAAAGAACATTATGAAAGTAAAGTTTCACATGGACTTCCCCACCCCCATTTTCAACAAGAGAACTGTGGTTAGCAAAATGGCAACCAACTCATTGCAAATTTGACCCTCACTACTGCAAAACACACAGCTTTCAAAAAAATAAAGAAAGCTAAAGTTATGTACTTACAAACACTGCACAGCATACCTGGGACCCTGGACTGACGGAGAGGCATGCAAACATTTCTCTTACTCTTTTCTTTCAGCTCACATGGCTGTTTTGCCATGGAGTGAGAACTGTGGTTTGCTGAAGAGCAATTCTGGGGGAAACTAATTCTTATTTAAAATCACTAGTTCATGGTGATGGAGGAAGACCTTCAAAATAATAATAATGACAATGATTAAAGATTGGTAAAAAGAGGGAGGGAACTCCTTACAAAATAAAGCACATACTGTTAACTTTCTTGAGGGAGGGCACTCTTTGACTCATTTGACCTACCAATATCCACTCACTTAACGACTTCATCTTGCTCAAACATATTAACTGGTCAAAGAGTCAACTGATTTTTGTAAGAAAAAAGAGATATTATAATGAATAATGTTATTTAAGCATACATTTATTTTGTGGCATTTCAGAGTGAAATGTTTATTGTGGCCAAAATAATAGTAGCGTTGTTCTATTCTGATATGAAAATTAGTATATAAAGCACTACTCTATATAATGGACATGTACCCCACCTGTTCTAAAGTGAGTTTGCCTGTGGAGATCCAACCACTCACTCGCAATTTTCTTCTTTTTTGCCTCGTTAAAGCTACATTGAATTTTCATAAACGGAAATTGAGCATGAGATAACTAACATTTACTCAAATAACAATAATTAACATTTACTCCTAACACAAACACTATCTGCCGGTTCAATAAAATGTCAAATATTTTAAGTTGTTCATTTGGCATTTCCTTTTTTTTTTTTTAAATAAAACAACCCTTTTTGCTAAATTCTGCCCTACAATATTTCGCATTGAAGTTTGTCAGCCATAAATGTTAGCAGCTTGATTACAAGCTTTATTTAAATTATTAAGGTAAACGAATTTGAACAGAAGAATTCTGGAAGCAAAATAAACCAGCAAAACAATTTAGCAAAGCTAATTTTGGGGTTCATACGATACTGTGATGATCTCTAAACAAACGAGGTGATGTGATCTTCTGACAATCATGTTTACAGAGAGTATAACTTTATCTTAGTATTATACTCAAACTAAATCCAGCATTTCAGTAAAATGCAGGCAACTAAAAATATCCAAAAGGAATGAGAAAATGGTTACTAAACTTTGAACTTTTCTCGGAAAGTATCTATCAATTAAAATTACATATATATTTTTTTTTTTGCTTAAACCTAAATCCGGTTCATTAAACCTTCAAGGTTTTAGTAAGGGGGCAAATTAACTAGGATAGTATTAACGTTGACTTCAAAATTGCTGAAGGCTTCACATGGCTTTTCTTTTCTTCTGCAATCTCTGCAACTTCTCCCACTTGAGATAGATCTGATAAGACAATCCTGAGAACACCATAAAAACACACCCCCATTGCTTTGTTGACAGGGGATTCCCACTCAATACGGAAGATATCACAATGCTAACAAATTTGCGGGTGGTAGTGATGGTAGTGTTTGCCAAAGAGCCAAACCGGCTTATGGTCAAGAAGATGAAATTTTGGCCAACAGCACCGCAGCAACAATAGAGAAAAATATCCCATGCTGCCTCTGGATACTGTTTGCAGAATCGAACTGCCTCAAATCCACTGGCATGGGGCCATCCGAACATGTAAATCAAATTGTATATGGTTCCCCATAAATTCATGCCCAGCATAATACCCCAAGCACTTGTTTTTGGATACCTGGAAAGCCAAACCAATAGTTAAAAATAATATAGTTAACATTAATGAATCTGTATGTAAGATGTTGTCAACTAAAAGAGTCATTTGCCACTCAGAAAGCCCAACAGTGTTGAGATTTCAGAAGTCAATTTCGAATGAAAGTTCAACTATTTGACGTGTGAAAGAGGATCGCTCTTGTCATTTGTTGGGTTATAGGTATTTGGTTGGTATTGTGGTTGTTAGGAATTCTGAGTTTTGCGAAAGGTTTCTGTCTTCCCGTTTTGGGTTTGTTGGAGAAAGTATTTAGAGCTGGGTATCTGTTTCTTTTTATTTTTTGTTCCCTTTCTCCTCTTTTTTTTTTCTTTTATGTTTTTGTATAAGGGTCGGGACAATCCTATTGTCCCCTTCCAATTTATTTGTTATTGCTGATTAAATAAAGAGAGAGAGAGAGAGAGAGAGGAACATGAAAATTTGTATTTAGTTTTGTTTACTTGACTACTAAATTATTCACCAGAGACAATCCAATGGAAGACCACTATTTCAACCCCGTAGACTAAATACGTAAGCCTCACATTCTAAGCCAATCCACTTTGGTTCATATAATCAGGTATCAGCATTAACTCTAAAAGATGTGTTTAACCGAGATAATAAATATAACCGCATTTCATACTTCATAGCTTGACTAAAAAAAGACAACACCTAAACCAATGAGAGAAACAATTTCAAGAACTTCTACATTTAGAAAATTGTTCTCATTAAAAGAAAAAAAAATACAACGAGAGGAAGGAGGGGGTGTGAAAATAGTAAAGAATCAACGAAGTGCATGTTAAATTTGGTAGTCAACAAGACATCAGACAGACTGAAATTGAAATATGCAAAACAAAAAGAAAGAAACTTCACTATTATTACCTTCCTTTTATAGAATCCTGGGTAGCATTGGTAAATCCATCAAAAGCAAGGTTCAGGAAACATAACCCATAGCCAAGGGGAGCATTTGGATGTGCCAGCTTGCTGATTGTCTTTGAGCTCGTCTGTAATTAGCATAAACAAATAATGCTAAGCTGGGTTCATAGACTAAAACTTTCCTTGATAAGAGGAGTGAGCTTTATTATTCTGACAAGTTCCTAACCTTTAGAAGAGCAAATGTTGATACCCCTCCAGCAACAAGGAATGTACAAATGTATTCTGGAAGAGAGTATCTTATCCCATATACTAGAGTACCCATCAACATAACTGCATTTAGGTAAAGTGAATCTTTTGTTAGACATATAAATTTAAATTTTTTAAGAAATTCGACAAAAAAATTATTATAAGATTTTTCTATCATCATTTCTTCCAAATGTTTTATATGTCAGTCCCTGCCAGAAGCTCTAGCATGATCAAACAAAGGTAAAAAACCATGGAATTTAATTATTTGCGCAGATCCATAAGCAAATCGGAAAGAATGGGTGCATAATAAGTAAAAGTTTAAGATACAAATCACAATGGATTCTCAAGTCAAATGCACAAGTACAAGAGCTAAAAAGTCTCAAAAAATACATAACCACAACAGTTTCCATGGTATTGGTAAAATGCTAAAAGACTCGCTTCCTTTGACCTATTGAACTTAATAAAGTGAAATTCACATACAACCTATCCCTAGTCCCCGTAAACCAAAAGTATACAAAAACACAGACGCACAATATAGTGATATAATTCAATCATATATTAAGGGAATATGCAGAAGATATAAAAAATAAGCTAAGTTCCCATTGCTTTTAATTAAAATGCAAACTTTTGTCCATCAAGCACAATATACTGACCTGGAATCATTTTGGAAGACTTCGCCAGCACCTGCAAGTAGAAAAATTAACACCACCCATTAAAAAGATCATACAGCCTCGTGCCGAAAACAATGAATGACTGGACAATAAGTTCGCCAGAAATGCTGCACCATGCAGCATAAATATAAAAATACTTGCTTCAACTTAGATGCGTGGTAAGGATAGCTTGTGTATCATCATCCATTATCTGTAAAATAGTTATTTCATTGATTTTCAAGAAAGAAGAATGGATTTTCGTACATAATACCGAAATCGATTTACTAATACTTATAACTTTCAAATAAAAAAGATGAGGGAAGAAAAGGTGTTGAAGAAATCACACCTGAGCAGGGTAACTAATATACTTCAAAGCTTCAATTCCCATAGCGGGACCAATGGTGTTGGTAATTCCAGCGCTCCAATAACTCCACCAAGGAGCACCACCAGAATTTCCACTGGACCATATCTTTATCACTGTACGCATAAAAAAAGTGATTAAAATAAAATGTTAAGCGGATCTGACGTAAATACACACACAGTATAAAAAATATACATATACTATAACTCAATCATAATTTGCCGTAAGATAACGGCTTTAAAAAGTAACACACACGGAATTTCCAACAAGTTTTAGAGCAACAACGCATAAAACATAAATTCAAATCAAATATATTCACACACTTATTACTAATTGGCGATAGAATCTTACTTATAAACGACCAGATTAAACACACCACACTCTGCGCCAAGTTCAGAAACGCAAGGTGCTCGAACCTTTCACCGTTCGGACCGAATCGCTTGGTCGACCTGAAACAAAATTCAAAATGAACTAAAAAAACTAGCAACGAAAGGCATTTCGAAACTCACGACGGTTACGAGAATTTCGGAACGAATTGGGATTCTTACACGTTTTCCTGCAGAACGCCTTGGTAGATGTAGGCCGACCAGATTCCGGCGACGCAGAAGGCGAGGAGCAGGATGCGGCGGAGCCCTCCGCCGTGGGCCTCCATGAGATCCGCACGATTCGGTTCTTTTACTATTATAGAGTATTGAATGAAGGAAACGCCGTTGAGAGAAGCAACCGCGGTGAAGAATGGATCAAATAATGAAATAATAATAGAAATGGGGACAGTGAAAGAAGGAGCTTAGAAGTGTGAAGTGTGCGCCAAGGTATGCTACGTGGATTCGCCACGTGGCTGAGTATAATTGGATGATGCCATGTCATTGCGCTCCCATTGGACGCGCCAACGCGTGCCGCGTTTTCACTTTTTAGCGGTAGACTCATCCTAATGTCGGTCCACCCTATTTGGTCTTTTCGTCAGTTTCTTGTTATGAATATTCTGCCATTTCTGTTATACGTTTTTTCTGTTCCAGGTTTTATAAACTAATATTCCCTCCATTTTCATTTATAATATAAATTAGTTTCATTGAAAAGTGAATAATTTTATTTTCAAAATTATAAGACATAACCTTTATGTTATTTAAAATATTTATTATTAATTATTTTGGTGAAAACATCTCCATTAAATAAAGATGGTTTTTGAAATATAATTAATATATCATTCAACATTAAATTAGTCCTATAAAAAAATCACTACAATTTTCTTTTAGATCTTATAATTATGGATGGAGGGAGTAATAATTTATAAATTAATAATAACTACTATTTTTCCGGACGAATATTTATTTTTATCTTACTATTATTATCGCAATTGCAAGCAATGATAAATGACATTTATAAATACATAAATTGTAGGAACAAAATTATTATGAATTAATAATTTTATGAAAAAAAATGTAGGTTAATTAGTCACTTAAATTTAAAATTAAAATAATAAATATAAATGAAAATTATAATGTTTCATTTTAATAGTACAAAATTACTAAAATAGAACATTACATAATAACTATTTTTTAAGTTTCTGTGTGTTGGAACCAAAATGAAAAAGGAAGGGTTCATGATGGAAGATGAGGCATTGTCAGCTTCTTTCCAAGATTAAGATAGGTTCAAAAGTTTACTACTACCTTGGATTGCCACGGTAATCACATTTGGGAGAGATTTTTTGGGTTTGTGGTAGATGTGCAAGAGGAGAAAGAAGGTTCGAGGAAAGTTGGCCAAGAACAGTTGCCTTCTGATCTTAATTTCTTGGTTCACCTTTATTGTAGATCTTTAGATCTATCCACGACTAACCAAATTTACTTAAGCCAAAATGGGAAAGACGTATCAAGTGAAACTTTTGACCTTACTAAACAATTTACTTATATAATTTTTTTATAATTGAGAACATTTTCTCTCTGTTTTTTCCTTGAATATATAAATAAAAAGAATACTCAAAATAAAATAAGATAAAAATAAAAAACGAAAAAGAAAAACATATCTTCTTCATACCTCATTGTTTTGTGTTTCCATTATTTTTATTTATACCAAGCTTCATTTTGTTATTTATTTATCTAGACGAAATTGGATATTGACAATTACTTAACCACATTATATAATGGCATATGAAGTTGTTCAATTAGAAACATTACCTCGAATTTTAAAACAACATAAAACATAATAAAAGCATTACTAATGCATGTAAATAAACAAAGTTTAACACAACATTAAATAAACATGCTATATAGATTAGTGATTGTCTAGTATATTGCGACCTCTTCTGCTTTTGAGACATTTTCTTCATACACCCCACTAGCTATCAATAATGCTTATTAGTCTAGTCACATGCTATAGTGTTCTCACTCACATCACGATAATCAATCATTCTTTGTAAGATAATAATAATGTGTTTGATATAGTCTTACAATGACGACAATAACAAATTAAATAATAGTTTTTTCATTACATAAATACATAAACATTGTTTATTTACGTATTAATAAACTATATCTTGTCTCGGATCTCTTGATAAATGGAATGTCATATGGGAGCTGTCGATGAAGTTAGGGTATGAGGCTTGGTCGGTCATCCTCAACACCATGGATAACATAAGGATGAGATACCAGTTTGAACCATTGGAGTATTTGAAAACATGCAAATGGAGAGTACATTAGAATGACATTAACCAATACATGTTCCGTGAAGCGTAACAAGTGATCATCAATGGTTGGCAAGTCAACCTCTGGATTAACATGTGGAAACCACGAGATAGGCTACTCAAACCCATATTGCCTCAACACATGTTTAGGTAGATGACGGTGAACAATCTCACTCACCTTGATGAAGCTAGAGAATAAGGAGATTGTCGCAAGCGCACAAGTAACACGATTTGATCCATATAGGGCCTAGATCATTCCATCATATGCTAATGCATCTAATTATGCCATGACCTCATGTAGGATGGAAACCTACCTCCAGTTACAAAACATTGCCACCCAAGGTCTTTGCTCATCATAATTATCCAACACTTGCCTCTTTCCCATTCTAGGGAAATGCTCATATATCCAACTCTACCAAAAAGTGAAAATGTATTTCAATAATGAAACAATAAAGGAAATCAAAGTGGAAGATATATGTGTACTTGTAAAAGATTCAAATTTACAGCTAATTGTTTTGCCTCTACAAAGCTAACATCTCCAAGTTGCTTGTACAGGTGTGCAAGTATAGCAACTCCATGTGTATATCTGCCACATGACTACAAACAAATGTACGTGATGCTCTTATATCCAAAAATTGTGCTCTTATATCAAAAAATTATATATCCAACAAGATGCAACAAATAGCCTTGTGTGACATCTCCCACTGTTGTTTCCCACAATAATCATTATATATGTCTTTCAACCAACTCAGTCTTACATGGGACCATGACATTGCTTAAGCTTAGATGTAGTCCTCGTACGGTCTACACCCAAAAGGTCCACAAGAGTTTCCAAAGTAGCATCAAAGTCCAAGAGTTCATTCAGACAAAATTATTCCATTATAGGTAGATGTACCAACATTGACACGTCATCCAGTGTGACGATCATATCACCAACAAGGATATGAAAAGTGATTGTCTCTCTATGACACCTCTTAACAAACCTCAATATCAACCCCTTATTGATGTAATTGTAAGAAATATCGCATAGAGGCATTAAACTACAGTTCATCACAAAATTTTGAATAGCCACTTGACATGCTCCAAATTTGTTTAATTTTTTTATAGGAGACCAACTTTATCTTCCCTCAGTCCTAGACAAAATAATTGCATATAAAATTTAGAAAAGTCATCAAGCATTAAAAGTAAAAAAAAAAAATCATCTATTTGATTAAATTGGTGTTCCCACAATGCAAATGTTACATGATCAAAAAAAGTGTTTCAAACCTTTAGCAAATCCATCAACTTCATGTTCTTGTTGAACAACATCCTTATACTGCTTAACAACGTCCTCCTCCAAAATATCATTGTGATGGTCATCAACATCAAGACGAGCTAATGACGCAACTTCAACATGAAGACCTCTTATAAGAGCAAATGTCGTAGGTCTCCTTCTAGCTTCATCTTGTGTAGAGCTCTCAGCCGAATATGTAAAGGCACCTTGTGTTATTGCTATTTCTGTAACAAACAAACATTAAAAACATAAGTAGAACACATCAAATTATATACATAAAAAAATAACATAACCAAATTTTGAAATCTAGGAGAATCCTTAATTGGATTTTTAAATTTGGGAGAACCCTTAATCAAATTTCGAAATCTGGGAGAATGTTTAGTCAGAGTTCGAATCCTATACACTCTTAAATCGATTTTCGAACCCTTGAGAATCTTTAACCATATTTTAAGATATGATACACTCTTAAACAGGATCTTAAAATTTGGTAGAC